CCAAGGACTGACCCTTGTGGTACTCCATAACTGATATCACTTGTTTCTGATTTAGTATCATGAATCTGAACAAATTGTTTTCTATTTTCTAGATAACATTTAACCCATTGATGAGCAACACCTCTTAATCCATTCTGATAGAATATCTGAAATAACCTTGAGTGATCAATGACATCAAATGCTTTCTTTAAGTTAATAAAAACACTGATTAAATAGTTTTATTGTAAATTACTCTTGATATTTTACCAGTTAAATACATTTTTGCCTTTGCTGTTGAATGTTTGGTTCTAAATCCACACTGTTCATGGTCTACAATTATAGTTTTTAATGAATTTATCCAATCTTAATGCAAAACACTTCCACAAGGGTGGAAAAAGAGAAATGCATTTAATAATTAAACACTTCTTATTAAATATTATATATTAGAATATTAGAAAAATTAGCAACCCAAAATGTTTTTTCTAATCTTTATTCAATATTGATGCTAATAATCCAGAACAGCAAAAAATAAATATGTTTTACATGAAGAAGGATGTTGATATAAAATAAAAAGACTGCTTGTGTAATAAACAAAGGTGAAACTCGAAAAATGAAAATCTGGTGCAAAAGTTAATTTATTTTAGTAATTCAGCTGAAAAGGTGAAACTAATATATGAAACAGGCTCATCTGTTATACTTGTGATGATTATGGTTTACAGCTTATGAAAATCTCAGACAATTAGAATATTGTGAAAAGGTTCAATATTCTAGACTCAAAGTGTCACACTCCAATCAGCTAATTGATCCAACCCCCTTGCAAAGGGTTCCCGAGCCTTTAACTGGTCTCTCAGACTAAGCTGAAATAAATAGACTTTTGCAGCATATTCTTCCCTGTAAACAGTCAACATCGCATAGACGTGCAGATCATGTCTATATTGAGTCCGTTGGTCTAGACCACGTCTGTAGGTCATCCAAACTAGGTCTTTGCACAGTGGGTAATTGTTTGCGTTTCACCTGTAATTGACAACTTTATGATGGACTCGGTTTTTGTGCACTCAGGATTGCTGACTTTCTACAGGTGGCCGATAAAAAAAAGTTTTCTCAGGATTTTGTCTCTGCTATCTGCCGATTTTGTTCTTGAATCTGACATGATGAAATCTTCACCTTTTCTTCACTGGGGCAGCAGTGCCTCATGAGGTAGAGTAGGTTGTAGGAAGGTTGAAGGTTTTATCCCGCCTCCCGCTACAGAATACTGCTGTTGTGTCTTTGGGCAAGACACTTAATCCTCCTTGCCTGCTGATGGTGGTTGGAGGGACCGGTGGTGCCTGTGATCAGCAAGCCTCACCTCCGTCAGTTCGCCCCAGGGCAGCTGTGGCTACAATGAAGCTCATCATCAGTGTGTGAATGGATGAATGACTAATTGTGTTGTAAAGCACCTTGGAGGGTTGTAGGGCCCTAAGAATGTGCTGCACAAATACAGGCCATAAATCACATTTTCTGCCTTGTTGCAGCTTTGATTTAGCATATTTCCTTATACTGTAAACTTTCTAAATGTGTTCCAGCATTGCCTTTTGTTTAAACACCGTTTTTATAAGACTAGGACTAACAGAGGTACTTTCTTGATCCAAAATTTCTATTGAATTTGCTGGAATTGAACAAATTCTTTTATTTATTTTTTCTGTGTCCTGTCCGGCTGTGAAGCAATCAGAATTGATGTCTGAATGCCGAAGGCAAGCCTTGCAGCTTTATTCTCACAGGTGGAGCTTTTGCTATAATACCACTCCTGATACCAAAACTTTATTAGAAGTATTTTCGGTTGTTTTAAATTCCAACGGACGCTGGCCTACACCAAATGACGCCAGCACACAACCCCACTTACCTACAGAGTGTCTAGGTGCAACTTAAAATTGGAAGTGGGCACCGGCACTTCAGGTTAGGCTGAGAGATCCCACCAGGTGCCGTTGAATATGCTCACTCCCTAAAAGTGTCCATTTGCATGGAATGTCGTTGGTGGAAGTGTTTAATGTGCAAATTACAATTGGGGCGCAAGCTGCCATGACTGTGGACATGGGAACCACACCCGCGCCCCCTGACTTACCCACACTCCAAATCCCTATGTGCATGTTTGTGTGGTGATGTGAAAGAGCAGGAGGAGGAAAATGTCTGAGGATGGGGAGGAATGGCTGGGGGGGCTAGACCCTGAAGGGAGCCAGCTGCCCCACTGGCCCCAATAGGCACCCCAGTTCCAAAATCCACCTGGGACATGGAGACCCTATCCTAGCCAAGGCCCAAAGCAGCATCGCAGAGTCCCACAAAGTCCGAGGCCACCTACCCAGCTCCACCCCAGCAGAGTATCTACTCCCATCCCCGCATCTGATCAACTTCCAGACTACGTAAGACATAGACACCCTGGTAAAGTTGGGTCTTTAGTTGGGAATTTAACAAATTCTAACGAATCAGTCAAAGAGATGTAACAAAGATTCCCCCTGTTGTAAAAATAAAAGCCACCAAGTAAAATTTCAAGATGATGACATCATCAAAACAAGGATTTTCCCTGCTGTTAGCAGGCTAAAGATAAAAGATTTCTTTCAATTGGTGCTGATAAAAGTAGTTGACTTTTATTTTTCTTTATTCTGGTATAGGTCAAACTTCCTTAAAAAGTACAAAGTCCAACATGTAGATAAATTGGTCAAAGGTCTTAGCCCTGCTGACGCCTTCTCTCCCTCGTTGTCAGCTGGGACACAGTCTGAGACCTACAAAGTCCACATCATGAAAATGAAACTGCTTCAGATATTCAGTGTAAGACTTTAAATCACCAGAATCTGCATCTCGGCACATGCTTTTAAAAATTAAAGACACTGTAGAGGGTTACTGATCACAAACTACAACTCAAGTGAGAAACATGGACAACATTTCAGGAGGTTTATTAGCTAGAAAACACATTTTTTAAACAATCTGTAAATTTTCCCAAAATAAATTTTGATAATATACAAAATAGTTATAGTTTTAATTTTAAAAAGTCAACTAAAGTGAGACTTGTTCTTTCTGATTTAGTCTCATGTTCTTCATGCTGGAGCTGCAAGTAGCCTAAATATCTCTGAACACACGAGTCACTTAGTCCCTGCTCCAGCAGCAATGGATACAAGTTAACAAAATAAAAGTCTTTTTCACTGTAATGGAAAGAGGAGGGCCTGAAAGTTCCTTAAAAGACATTAGATGCTTCAGGGGTTTGCCCACACTCGCTGCCTTGCTTAAAGGGAAGTGTGAAGAGGAAAATCGCCAAACAACCAGAGGCAGTGAGCATTTTTTGAAACAGTAGTCTAAGAAGGCTCACATGTGCTGGCCCTCATTTGGAGAATGACTTCTTCTGAGTGTGTGAATACACTCAGCTTTTATATTTTATGCTACAAGACCTAAAGACCCAACCACAAAATATTTGTTATCATGACCGAGAGAGAAAAACATGAATAAAGGTGAAACGAGCAGGCCGGGGTTAGAGCGAGAAGACATCAAAACATGATTTGTGACTCTTGAGGGGATTTCCACAGCTTATCAGCTGTGTGTGTGTGTGTGTGTGTGTGTGTGTGTGTGTGTGTGTACACAAATGTCAGGTGCAAAGTGACCTGATGTTCATAAACATGAGTCAGAAACAAGTTCTGAATCCCAACACATTCACACACCACAGATAAAACACCATTAAGACACCAGAACGACTTGCTAACAGATGGCTGATCACACAACTCATGCAAAACAGCTTTTCATTTATACTGAAACAAGAGAATGCAGGGGACTGTGTTTCTGTTTAGACAGGACTGGTTTTGTTGGGATAGTTGACACAAATCCTGTTCAACAGAAAAGTGACATATCAAGCTGCATTTGAACCATATGAAGATCAATGTGGGAATCAGCAAACAGCACCAAAAGTAAACCGGTAGCTCCCCCCGGTGACAAGAATTTAGAACAACTTTAGGACATTTATTTTGGATCACGTCACCAAAATCATCAGATTTTTCTCCTTAGTTTAATTATGTTGTGTTGTAGTGATCTTATTTTGAATTTTTATTGTGTTACAATTTATCCTCTAAAACTAATCGGCTGAACAAAGCAGGATGGCATTTGTTCATGGGCGTAATTTTTTGGTGGGTGGGATTGGGGGGGGGGGGGGGGGGGGGGGGCATGTCCCCCCACTTTTTCCAAAGTCAATTTTTGTCCCCTGCACTTCTTACCATCCAAAACAATATTATGCTGTATTAAATAGACTGGTTGAGCAATAAGAGTTCAGCTAGAATCTGATGTAAATGACCTCTATTGATCAGATATTCAAAAAATAAGTGTAAAATGATAATGAGTAGGAATATAAATGACTAACAAGGTGAAAAACAAAGTCTAATTGAAAGTATTAGTTTTTGTTTTACTGTCACCTGTGTACTTTACAATTTTGCATTCCTGACATTGCATAAAAGAGCCTCTAGGCTGTGTAAAGACCCCCCCCCCCCACCACACACACACACACACACACACACACACACACCGATCCTCATGCCAGTTAAGACCCCCCACTCCTAAAGTCAAAACTACACCCGTACCTTTATGTGGAGAGGGTTTGCTTGTAAATTTATTTAATCATATTGGTTTTATTTTTATAGTTAACTCATATATGACACAGATGTTTTACTCTATTTTAGCTATTTTTTTAACAAACCATCATAACAAATGAAAAAAAAGTGAGTTTGTGTGAAAACTTGCTTTAAAATTTACAGCTGCTTCTCTTTTTATATGAGAAACAAACTCAAGTTAACATTTTCTAATCTAAGTAAACTTACGGAGGTTGTGGGCCAGCAGTTTCTCTCTCTCTCTCTCTGGTGTATATATATTTAAAAAATGTTACATTTATAATCTATATGGCTAACTTTTTTCCTTGCAACACTCAAATGTAGGCTTTTACAATAACAAATCTAATCATTTCATAAAAGATTAAGCTGATTTCGTGTTGTAAATAAAAACACACGGACTCCTCAACGTCTAGTTGAAACCTTTATTCTGCACTGGAAAACGACGACTTACTAACACACTTGCGTCTCCCGTTTGTTCATCAGCCCTCTGGTCAGCTGACCTCTGCATCAGCGTCAAGGTGGCAGCCATCCTTCAGTTATCACAGTACTGTACCTTCGATGGGGACAGCATCAGCACTGTGATAACTGAACCAGGGCAGCCAGTCAAATCTAGCAGACTGCAGATTCACTCCATCTGCCATCGACTCTTGGTGTTCAAACGGAGGGTCAACAAGTTGCATGGAGATGATGTAATTTCTCACCATTTGTAGCAAAATGAGTGCAATCATGAAGTCATTCAATTCAAAAATGCCTAATTTGAATAAATTAAAGGACATTCGTAGTTTTAAAAGGAGATACAATTATAGGGAAAACAAAATAATAAAGCAGGGGGAGAAAAAGAAATTTATGTCTACAGAAAAATCCTCACTGGTCTAATTTTGCCCGCAAAAAGTAGAAAAAAGTAGCTAAAAAATCTGAGACTTTAGTGCTTGCATGCAGGTCAGTTAATCCTCAAGTAAACTGTTGTTTTAGTGGTCAATTTCTGTTCTTTAAAGGGCAATCTTTTGTTTATTATACCATAAGGATTAGTCTGAATGTAACATTAAAACATTAGGTGGAAAGTAAATCTATATTTTTGTGTATGGAGACTGGAATCTTCCACTATATTTCATTATGTTTACCTGCTATGTTTCATGGAATTCATTTGTCTGACCATTAATATTTTAATATGAAATATAATTTTTTATTTTAATTGCTCAAAATAATTTTGGGTTTGCAACATCCTAACAATCACAAGTAGGTAATACAAATGCACAGCGAAAGGTCAATTCAGGTAACAAAAGTATAAACAGTGTGCTATTAATTACTGAAAATCTGGTTAGGAGGAGGACAACAATGCTAAAGTTTCATGTTGGAGTTGGTTTCTTGATTTATTTAAATATAAAACATTTTGTCCCGTCATAGCTGCACATAAACGCTTGTTAATGGTCCACTGGTGCTTTTCTTTTCTTTCTCCATCCTTGTTCCTGGGGATCTGTTGAGACAAACTTTTATATTATTTTCATACCACAAGGCTGAGTGATGTCAGACTTGTTATGGTTCAGGTCTGGAGCTCCTCCCCCTCGCTCTCTCTCTCCTGTGGAGCGGTCTGTGCGCGTCACTGGCTGACGTAACGACTCCTCCTCCTCTCCGAGTCCGCCCTCTGCACTTCATGTAAACAACTCCATTAGCTCCGCAGCACAAGGCTCTGGCCAAAAAAAGCTGTTGTTGTCAAACGCGGGCAGCGAGGCGACATGTGCCAGAAGTAAAGTAACCAGCAGACGCACTGTCATGGCTCTGCGCGCGCCGCAAACAGGAAGAACCCCGAGGTGAACGCGCGTCCGTGTTGCGCAAACCTCCAATGTAAACAAGAGAATAAAATTTGATATGCAACAGCCTGCAGATCAGCGGCTGTCATATTTGTGTGAAATAAAGAAGGAAGCTGAGCCCCATCTTGGTTTCTACACAAAAAGTTGTCCAAATGAAGAATGAAAAATGTACACAAATCAAACAAAAACATTAAAGTAATGCTGTCTGAGATCCGAGCTAAGAAGTGAAACGTTTGTGTTGAATATTGTGCAGCCAAATGTTAACGCCCAACGTTGCACACACACGCGCGCGCACACACACACACTCACACCCCTCTTCAGGGCAAAAACAAACGGCACGCTCTTCCACCCAAATCTAAACATTTCGCCCTAATTCCGTTGCGCTCTCCTCGAACATGTCGCAAACATTTAGCACACTTACCTGCGTCTGTCCCCTTTCCGTCCCCGTGTTTACATGAATATTTTTAATGACGCAGCAAGACCACACAGAGCAACGTGAGTGTCGCCATTTTTTGTTGTTATTGAATTCTACCGAAAGCCATGTGACAAAATGAGCAAAATGTTCTGGCGAGCTTCCGGTGGCGGAGGAAAAAACTAGTTTCTGGAGGGCAGAAAAAGGTTCATCTCCAGACTTGTTTGTCTGATGGATTAGTCCGCTCACCTCTCTCCTCTGACGGCCGACCGGAGCCCGTGCGCAGTGTTTGACAGCTCCGGGACGCTGCTGCCGCCGCCTTATGGCTCGCAACAAGTCTACTCACTGGGATTCCTACGCAAATGACAGCGAGTCTTTTGCGCCTTCCGCTGTAGCGCAAAAACGATCAGTTTGTCAACTCTAGAATGAAAGCACCGATCTGCTGGAGATATGCTGTCAAAATAAACTAAGAAAATGAATAGGCTGTAAAATATGTATTAGCCTAATTATTCAAACAATATCTACCAACAATCTGTATGAAACCTGTTTATTTTTGGATTGTTTTGGATATTATTGGATTTGGATATTATTTTTGGATTGCAGTTCTACTATTTATTTCGGCCAACGTGCTTGAAATGAAAGAAATACACTCTAAAAGGTGTGAAAATAAAAACAACTGCATTTCATTTATTTATTTATAAAGCACCTTAATGCCACCAGCCAAGGCTGCTTAAAGTGCAATACGTGATAAAATCATAGCCCATGTACATTAAAATTAGAGTCAACAATCAGACCATACTAAAAATGGATATTATAAGACATAAAAACACTAAACATAATAAAATCAAAATGCACATAATGCCCCAAAACAATAAAAATAAATAAATACGTTCCAAGAATATTACCATTATTATTAATAATATTACAGTTTGGATTATTTTAGTAAAATTTGCGCAGAGCCAACTCAGGTTGGATTGTTGGTTTGACCCTGTGGCTGATGATTTCCACCAGGCCCGATCTGAACTTCTGAGATTGACACGTTTAAGTGTAGCACGTAAAAATGGTCTGCGACACACTCGTCCACCATAAGGTGGCGAATTGCTGTAACTTTATGCTTTTGTTTCCAGCGGAAAAGGTCAAGTCAACGTTTAAACTGCTTAAAACAAGTTTAAAAATAACCGTTAAATTGCTAATGTTTTGGTTAAAATAAATTATTGTTTCTAAAATTCAAACTTTGCTTGGACCAGCAGTCAACCACTTGTCAGGGCATATTTTAATTTAATAACAAACAAACAAACCAATAAACAAACAAACCAAAAACGATTAAAAAACAAATAACAAATGACAAAACAAAAATTAAAACAACCCAGCAGATTTTAGAGTGTAGATTAAATTCCAAACCGATGTCACATTTTTTTAAATAGCTCATAAATCAAATTAACCTCCTTTATCTAATTGTACATTACTTCTTCTCAAATGGACTACAATTTGTACCACATTAAAAACTACAATAACCAGTTCGCCGCCTGGTGTTCAGCCATCCGCATTTTTTCTAGATGATGCGCGCAGAAAAATAGGGCGTTGTGGAGTCTCGCTCGTTCATTCGCGGAGGAAAGTCTCTTTTCTTAAAGAAACAGGAGAGCGAGCGACGAAGAGAGAGAGAGAGAGAGAGAGAAAGAGAGAGCGAGAGAGAGACTGCGCGTAAATCCACTGCGAGCGAGTTTTAAAGTGCAGATATTTTTCTTGGCTGACCGTTCATGCGTGCAGCTGTGAGAAATAAGCGCAAACAGAAACATCTGCCTTTGAACAGCCCCGTCTATTGCTGCTTGTCCCCCCGGTGGTAGACATGGCAAAGTTATTCCGTGCTGCAATCATGGGTCCACCAGGATCAGGAAAAGGCACGATATCCAAGAGGATTGCTCAGAGCTTCGGACTGCAATACCTGTCCAGCGGTCACTTTCTGCGCGAGGGCACAACTGTCGACCCAGGTAAGAGAGAGAGAGAGAGGGAGATAGCCCGTAAACAGAAGCCCACTCCACTAAACTCTGTTGTGTCAACAGGAAGCGTTGGAGCCTGCTCGTTTTCCGTGCAGCATGCTTGAATTGCCACGATGACCTTGTTTTCATGCAGCTAATGTTGCAACAAAGCGCGTTGCTGATGCATGTAACATGAACTAGCAGTGTTTTCCCCCGTTCTGTCTTCAGAGCCTGTGTGAGCCTCACAACACCACACAGAAGAAAGCAGACACTAGATTTACCCCCCCCCCCCCCAATGCTCACCCATAATGTGTTTTCTAATTTCAATTCCTAATTTTTTGCGTTTATTTCCTCAAACATCCAAAACCGTTGGTTGTGTTTCCTCTAGCTTCCTTTTTCTAGGGCACATTTTCTTCCCAGGAAATTTTAATAAAGGTTTCCGTACAGGCCAGCATGATTTGGAAAGATGCCAAAAACCGCGTTCCTTATTTTCTCTTTTATAATCTCTTCAATCAGTCCTCCGCAGGGACAACCCCGCAGCTTCCAAAGGTTAAACTTTTCACGTTGCCTCTCAGATAGACATTCTCACAATCAGGAAGCTCTGTTCATATCTCTGTTTGTTGTTGATCAGAGGCAGGACTGCTGGTGAAGACCTACGTACAGAAAGGCATGCCGATCCCTGACCATTTGATGACCAGACTGATGCTGCCCAAGCTGCAACAGCTGAGAGACCACAGCTGGCTGCTCGATGGTGAGAAACAGCTTTTGTTGTTTCAGACTTTCCACTAATACGCCATAAAACATGGAGCTGCCTCAATAAATTCTTGTATTTTCTTATATTTAAAGAAATATATTAAAAATGCTAAGTCATGGTAATTAAAGAGACTTCCAACCATCTTTCTAATCTGATTGGTCCATGCAGATGCCCCCCACCCCCATCCCACAGGCAGAGCCACATGCAAGGACTTTTTAAAACCTCTGTATTTCATTAACAAATAAACAGATAAATATAAACAAATCCAAAGAGTGCACAATGTGTCTCATTCAGTTTGAAAGAGTCAAAAGAAAAAAAAAACAATCTGGCTCATCCTGTTTGAAAAGACGGCTTATTGTTTTTAATTATCGGCTGACCCTGTTTGGGTTTATATTCTTTAGATTCCCTGCTGAAAATGTAAGGAAACAGAAGAATTAGCACAGTTTGGGTGGGGGGATCAGATATATTCAGTTTTAACACTGTAAAACACTTCTGTCAGCAATTATTCATCAGTAATATAAATAATTTGTGTAAGTTTGATTAAATGTTGAATTTTTCTAGTAAGTCATCATTTAAAGCTGCAAATGGCAAAATTGTAAAACAAATTAGCTTAAAACATAGAGAGGCTCTAACATGGTACAGCTATTATATATATATATATATATATATATATATATATATATATATATTAGTGCTGTGAAAAAAATAACGCATTAATTTAGTTAATCAATGTGAAATGTTTAATGCATTAAAAAATTAACGTAATTAATGCAGTTTTTCAAATTTTATGTCATCCGACACCTCAAACTCGTGAGCAGCTCTGAAGGAGGGGGCAGCATTGCGCTATGCTGGTGTCTGACCTGCTGGAGATGATTAGAAGCAGCAGCAGCAGAAAAAGAGAAGGAGAGGAAAAGCTTGCTAGCATGGACAATGCTGTCCATGGAGCGATGTCTAAATCGGTACAAAACAGAGCCCACAATGGATACTGGACACTGTCCATTACAGTGGTGGTTGAAGAGAGAAGAAACACATTCCAGACTGACACCTGTTGCATGCTGTCAACCCCTGCAACCACAGTGCCTTGTGAGAGATTATTTTCACTCTCAGGTCACATCGTTGGTGCGCTCCAGGCAGCTGCGTCCAGCGCACGGTCCATTCTCAAAGTGGCACAACCAAAAAACTATAATTAACACACGATCGTTCATGTCCGCACATGTTCTCTACTCAGGGACGTCGGACTGGGGGGGGAAAGGGTACCGTTTACCCAGGGCCCACTGCAGGGAGGGGCCCTGAGATAGCTTTGAATAAAAATGTTTTATTGTTGTTGTTTTTTCCCCCCAACTTACTTATTGTCTTAATAAACTTCCCTTTACCTGGATAAAGAGGTTAAGAAACAGAATTTCGCCTTAAAAATAATAACTGAATAATCTCTGAGGCATCTATCACCCCTTAAAAATGTGCAAAGTGGTTTAGTCCACACCCACGGCCAGGGGCTGCACTGCCGCATGTACAGCTAATGAGACATTGCAGATGCCGACAGCCAGAGCTGGAGGCAGGAGAGTCAGTCATGTCTTTTCCCAAGAAAGGGAAATCTGGCTTCCAGAAAAGAAGGAGAAGGAGAAAAAGTTAATTGAACAGAAGCAAGTATTTACTAAGTTTTCCCAGAAGGACGGTGAGCAGCAGCCAGCAGAACACAGTTTTAGCTAATATTAGCTAGCTCTCAGAAGCTGCATTCATGTTAGGTGTTCAGTGTTAAACGCCTTTAGTTTCACCATCAAGATCAAATATAAATTAATTAGTGTTATCAGTGATAACACTAATTAATTTATATATATTAATGAGAATTATTATCGCGGGCGGCCGCCGCCAATTACTTCGCAGACCTCGCAGTAAAAACAGGTTCACTCTGTGTGGATATTTCAGCTCCTTCCCAGTCATGGACCAGGACAAACTTGGTATCGATGGATTCGTGGTAATCTCAGGAATGAGAAGCTGCCACTGTTTTTCATATAGCATGATGACACTGGTGTTAGAGGATTGTTATTGACTTGCTTAGATATTTTAAGCCTATTTTAAATTTCTTTATATTTGATCTTGAAAACGGACAATCTTATAATTTGGCTGATAATGCAGGGATTATAAAATTTAGAGTACATTACATTCACAGAGAAAACCTGGTTTATTTCATGTCATATGTATTTAATATATCAATACATATCAGTATCAGCAAAGCTTAACATCATGAACCATGACAGACATGACTGAAGAGCAGATGAAGATATCATGCCAGGCACTGATGAGAAAATATTACAAGGATCTCACAGCTGAATTTGAGAATGAGATGCTACACCTGAGAACAATATATGGTGCCACATTTCCACACATTCGGTCTCCTCTTGAGCTGCTTAATGCCATCTACAGGATGCAATTACAGAGCATTTTTGGAGAAGTTTGTATTGGACTGAGGATATTTTGCACACTACCTGTGACTGTTGCTGGGGGTGAATGGGCTTTTAGCAAACTGAAACTGGTGAAAAATTATTTGAGATCAACAAAGTCCCAGGATAGACTGAACAGCCTAGCTCTTCTTTCTATTGAAAGCCAATTAGCCAAAGGATTGGACTTTAAAGATCTCAAAAGTGATTTTGCTAACATGAAGACCCGTCAGTGGGCATTTACTGGAAAATAAATTCCAGGATTTTTGTTTGAACACATTGTTGGCAAATAAAAATAATTATATGTGAAGTCTGGGCATTTCACTTTTATTATGCTGGCATTTGTATTTGCTCAATATAGAGGTTAAAATAAGATCAAATTTATTATCTTGTCTTATAGCATGACAAAAAATGTGTAAGAGAGATATTAAGTAATTGAGCATGGGGGCCCACCTAGAAGACTTGAACCTAGGGCCCAGAATTTGGTGCTACGCCCCTGTCTCTACTTTCTGTCTTATTTGTGCCTGAAGCGCTCTGCTTCTGCGGAGCTCATCACCTGTGCTGCGGTGACTCCACCTCACTGACGCAGCATCGAAACGCGCTCTCCGCTTTGCGGTCAGGAGATCCCTTTTGATCTGCTCAAAAGTAACTGATGAGGTGAAAAAGTAAGAATCCAGGCAGCAGTTTTTTTGGAGAGTTTAGAGGAGACGCAGGAAGATGAGAGACAGACAGGACAGGAAAATAGTTAAATAAAAACAAAAAAACAAAACAAAGTGTAGGTAGATTTATCTCCACTACGCGTTTTTACCTGTATAAAACAACAAGTTATACACATGTCATATTTATGCGTTTGATATAATTCAGATCACCTTCAAAACTCTGTCACACACCCAGGGCCGCTTCAAGGCATTCTGGGGGCCAAGGCAAAACATAACTCCCCCCACCCCTATAACTAGGCTCCCCAGAAGCCTCTGTGTAATCCAAAACCTCTCCAGGAGTATTAGTTATACAGTGTTTATAAAAGCCCCTCAGACATTACTGACATGTTCTAATATTATCAGATGAAAAACTAAATTATCAGACATGCTGTCTCATCTGCTGCTTTTCTAAACTTGCAAAAAGTAACAAAACCATTTGAAAGCCACTATTTGTGGATTCTCTGAAAGTTTCCATGGAGTGTGTGACAACTTATTTTTTCATTGAGAAATATAAAGTTGGAAAAAAGTGTAAGAGCAGCCAGGCTGATGATCAGATAAGTTGTGATTAATCACAATTAATTACAGAAAATTGTGCGATTAATTAGTTAATTTTTTTTAATCGACTGCCCCAAGCGGAGGAGTTTAAGTATCTCTGGGTCTTGTTCACAAGTGATGGAAAGCTGGAGCGTGAGATCGATAGGCGGATTGGTGCTGCACCTGCAGTGATGCGGGCGTTGTACCGGTCTGTCATGGTGAAGCGAGAGCTGAGTCAGAAGGCGAAGCTCTTGATTTACCCCTCGATCTACGTTCCTGTACCTCACCTATGGTCATGAGCTTTGGGTAGTGACCGAAAAAACAAGATCACAGATACAAGCAGCCAAAATGAGTTTTCTCCGCAGAGTGGCTCTGGCACCCAAAAGGTGATGTTTTGAAAAAAAGTTTTCTATCTGCCTGCAGAATATTTTCAAAGAAAAATGTCTTGGAAAAATACATTTTTTCCCAATTTTTCATGAACAAATGGGAAAAACAAGCAAGCAGACATCATGTGAAGTTGTTATCTTTGATTCATCAGACAGAATCGCACATTTCTGCTTTTGGAGCTGCAAAACTCCCACTCCTAAGGAACGAAAAAGTCAAAAATATTCAACATTTAATGTGTCTTTCTCTGCTCTGTTCACTCTAAGGTGTTATGAAATTCCCTGGAAAAAAATAATCATGGGTCTAACTTAGTCATCCTTCATAAAATAAATGAATAAATAAAGAAGGAACCTACAAACCAGCCTTGTTAAACATCTAAACCCCTGAAGCTGTATTGTTAACTCACATTAAAGAGATTCAAACATGCGTGTCACTGGGATCATGAGGCGGTGTTTTCTTTAGTAGATGGGTGTGGTGAAACAAGGCTGCCCTAACCAGCCCGGTTGTTGACAATGTGAAGCCCCAAGGCCACGAGATGAATAAGACAAATTAAATTTAAAAAGCAGGGTTTTGTGCAGATCAGATAGAAGCTCTTCATACCTCTCTGATTGTGGCTTTACTGTTTTTTAAATACATGTTTGAGCAGCAATAGCTCAGAAGGTACAGCGGGTTGTCCAGTAATCTGAAGATTGTAAGTTTGACCTTGGCTCCCACCTGAGAATGTTGTTGTGTCCTTTGGCAAGACACTCAACCCTCCCTGCCTGCTGGTGGTGGTCGTACGGACTAACGACACCTGTGCTTGGAAGCCTCGCCTCTATCAGTGCGCCCCAGGGCCCCAGCTATGTGAATGTGTGTGTGTGTGTGTGAATGGATGAATGATACACTGTAGTGTAAAGCGCTTTGGAGTCCTCTGACTCTGAAAGGCGCTGTACAAGTGCAGATCATTTATCATTTAAAATGAAAGGTAAGGTTTCTGTTAGAAGTGATCAGTGCTTTAATTCTGGTTTCCATTAAAAATAGCTTTAATGTGACTCCTTGCCTGCTGGTGGTGGTTGAAGGGACGCCAGTTTTCAGCAGTCTCACTTCATCAGTGCCCCCCGGGCAGCTTTGGGTACAATGTAGCTCATCATCGT